GTCTTGACCCCTTTGTTCATCATTCCTCCATCTCTGTCACTGGGTTCCAGGAGTTCAGTGTTGTGAGTATCTGTTTCTGCTTCCATCAGTCACCGGGTGAGGGTTCTAGGATGGCATATAAGGTAATCATCAACCTTATCATCAGGGAGGGGCTATTAATGTAGTCTCTCCACTATTGCTTAGTTTGCCAGTTGGTGTTATCCTTGTAGATCTCTGGAAATCTCACTAGTGTCAGCTCTCTCCTCAAACGTATAATGACTCCATCTATTATGGTATTTCTCATCCTTCTCTCCTCTATTCTGAACCTCAACTCAACTTTCCTGCTCCCCCATGCCTTCTTCTCCCCTCCCCTTTCCCCCCTCTCTTTTTCCCGGTTCCCTCTTCCCTCCCTCATTGTTACCTATCTGCTCAGGAGATCTTGCCTCATTCCACTTTACTGGGGTATCAGCTTCTACTTATAGTCAACCCACTGAAGGAAGTCAGGGCAGAAACTTGCTATTTTATGCATGTTTCCTCTGACTACGGAATTCACAGTCAAGGAAAACTGCATGCTGTCTTACTTGTAGGATCATGCTTAGCTCAGGCTTATATCATCTGCCAAAAGGATTGGTGATGCCCACAGTGAACCCGGCTCTTTCCATTAATTAATATTCAAGATATTCCCACAGATATGTACCCTGGTCAATTCTATTGAGGTAATTCTTTTTTTCTAAGATTTTTTATTGAAATTTGGAACAAACTTGCTTCACATGTCAATGCCAGCTCCCTTTCCTTCCCCTCCTCCCCCACTCCCAAGCACTCTAGGCCCCCACCCAATCTGTTCCCCAGGGTGGCTGAGGGCCTCCCTCCATGGGAATCTCCAGAGTCTGTCATTTCATTCAGGGCAGGGTCTAGGACCTCCCCCAAATAGTCTAGGCTGAGACAGCATCCCTCATTGTGGGATGGACAACCAAAGTCCATTTGTATGCTAGGGATAAATACTGATCTACTACCAAGGCCCCATAGATTGCCTAGGCCTCTTCACTTATATCCACATTCAGGGGGTCCGGATCAGTTCCACGCTGGCCTCCCAGCCATCAGTCTGAGGTCCAGGAGCTCCCCCTTGTTCAGGTCAGCTGTTTCTATGGATTAAACCAGTCCAGTCTTGAGCCATTGGCTCATCAGTCCTCCCTCTCTGTCACTGACTTCCAGGAGTTCAGTTCAGGGTTTAGCTGTGGATGTCTGCCTTTGATTCCATCCATCACTGGAGGAAAGTTCTGTTTCCCAGACTCTCTGGCAATTGGGATTGTAGACTGACACTTCCCTGATCCATGTCTAAAATCCATATATGTGTAAGTACATACCATGCTTGTCTTTTTTGTGACTGGGTTACCTCACTCAGGATTGTGTCTTCTAGTGCCATCCATTTGCCTGGGAATTGCAACAGTCCATTGTTTCTTTCTACTGAGTAGTACTCCATTGTGTAAATGTACCATATTTTCTCTATCCACTCTTCAGTTGAAGGGCATATAGGTTGCTTCCAGGTTCTGGCTATTACAATAATGCTGCTATGAATATAGTGGAACAGATGTCCTTGTATGAATATGCATTTTTTGGGTATAAGAGTGGAATTACTGGATCTTGTGGTAGACTGAGTCCCATTTTCCTGAGGAATCTCCATACTGATTTCCAAATAGCTGTAAGAGTTGGCACTCCCACCAGCAGTGGAGGAATGTTCCCCTTTCTCCATATCCTCTCCAGCACAAACTGTCATTGGTGTTTTTTTATTTTAGCCGTTCTGACGGCAGTAAGATGGTATCTCAGAGTTCTTTCTTTTGATTTGCCTTTCCCTGATAGCTATGTATGTTGTTGAAGCTTCCCTGTCAAGTGACTCTAGGTTGTGTAAAGTTGACAGTTAAAGCAATCCAGGGCACAATGCCAAATTTTGGATTATAGCAACAACTTATCATGATATCATAGTTCTTTGGTTAAGTAAATAATTGGATTTTCTCGGTATCACTAATGGGGAAATGGTCTGCTGAATACTGTTTTCAGAGGATCTTGTGAGATGCCTCACAAATACCTGTGAGTTTACTTGGTTTGAAAGATTAGACCAATCGCATATGTAAACCTACTTGAGACATTACTGAAGAACATGGCATAATGGGAGGACAGATACCTGTCAAATTCTCTATCCTCTGTATATGCTGGCAAAGAAGTCATATAGACCAATTGATAACCAATATTAGTACAGAACAAGATACTGACACAGCAATCTGCCACAGCCTAGCACATGGAATAACTTTATCAAAAGGCTTCTCAATGCAAAATTTTTCTAGATATGTGTAAGAGATAGGAATGCATTTTACATGGTTCAACAAAACTTCTCCCTAAATAGAAATAGGGGAAACATGGTAGGGCACATCATGTTAAATTGCAGCTTTGTTTCCCTGTGAAAAATAACCTTTCAATCTCATGACATATAATAGATAACCTTATCTTTACAGTCTTTTAAAATTGGATTTCAGGTTTTATTGACAGACTTTCAAGAGAGAGTTTATTATAAATCTTCAGTTAATAGTCCTCTGAAGTTCCTGAATTTTAAAAAATAACCTTTCAAGAAGGATTCCTTTGAATAATGGGTATTTCTCTTTTATCTTGATTTTGAAGCCATTTTAAGATGATTTGGTAAATTATTCATATTTACTGCTGGATTCTGACACCTAGAAAATGTGTATGTGAAGTTATCAAGAGATTTACAATGAAATTTTGCAGTAAGTCTTTAGGGCTAGATGAAAATCATGACTGTGTTGCTTTTGATAAATGTAATAATTTTCCTGATAATAATAATTATGGAAATAATTCACTACTTATTACCTGCTACCATAGAACAAACAGCAAAAAATGAATTAACCTTTGAACAGAATTAAATGAACATGAAAAAGCTCCATGCTATAGGGTGGAAATATTTGTACAGATGCTAATTGAGCATCTGGCATTTAAATTAAATGGCATAACATAGATTTTGTTCAGGCAAGGATGTAAAAGTACCACTAAAGCAATTTAATTTTTAAAATAATTTTTGTATAACCTAAATATCAACAGGCTTGAATATGTAAATGACTTTTAATTTAGGCTAGAATTACAACATTTTTAGGCCTACATTTATATGTAGTTATAGATATCAATTAATGACATAATATTAGCTACCAAAGAAAGAGCATAAGAAATTCAACCACAATACTTAAATTCTTTCTATGAATGTATGTTCAAGGAATATTGAAATTAATTTTGTCTTTTTAAAATGACTGTATGATTTTGTTTTTAATTAAGTTTGTCCTTTGTAATTTTATGCATATGTAGTTTGGCTGCTCTCTAACCTATTTTATCTCCCTCACACCTTGCCAGTTATCCTTATTTCTCACAACTTCCTTTCCCATGTCATTGTCTTTTTCATCTGTTTTATGACTAAGTCTAAACAGGGACACCCATGTGACTTTGAGTGTGGGACTGTCTGTCAGAAGTTGGTAGACTCACTAGTGAATACCTAGATAAAGTAGACAACTCCTTCTTACCTGATATGTTTCAATAGACAATATTTCAAAATGGGAGGGGTAAGGCCTCTCTCTAATCTGTGACTGACTCTTGGCAGGCGCAGTGCAGTCAACCCCAGCTGCTGTAATTTTATGATTGCCATAACTGTCCTGTACTCAAAAGACAACATTCTGTAGCCCTTCTCCCTGTCTTATAGCTCTAATATTCTTTCCTTGTCCCATGTGCCAGGATATTATCTGAGTCATAGAGGGGATGTTGTTACTGTCTCATTTTGCTTAGAACAAGTGAGTCTTGTTCTAAGACTCATTTGTTCTAAGCACATTGTGCAACTACGAATCTCTACTTTCATCAATGTTCACTACAGAGAAATTCTCCTCTGACCAGGATTGAGAACTACATTAATCTATGGGTATGAATATAAGTATTTAGAAGGCTGTTTGGCACTAAGTCAGTTTATTGAAATAGCAGTTGTAAGGCACCCCCCATAGGGTCTATGATCGTCCCCAAAACGCAGTTTGAGCCAGGTTTTTAAGCAAGTTATGAATTTTCTCTTGTACAGTGGGGCCTCAAATCCAGAAAGGGGTTGGTTACCCTCATCTTAGTCATGCCATTATTGACCATTAGACATATCTTGCATTTAAATATATTTTTCTACAACAATTTACATTGTTTATTATTATTATTATTATTGTTCCTGCTGCTAGAAATGTTTAAATGTAACCTTTTTCTTAGGATCAAATGAAAAGTATATTTTAAATTTTAGCATCCCTGTGTACATTGAGCAATATTATTTAAGTATTCTAAAGTCTATAAGTAAATGTTTGCACATAAAAACACCTGCTCCACGATGTTGTAAGTTCTTGCTTGGAAGAGAGGCTTGGAATTTGCAATGGTTAAGATTAAGAGTAGGTGTAAGTAAAAGACACTGACAAATTTGATCTTCAGTAAAATAGGACCAGTTCTGTCACATGATCAAGTCCAGGTATAAGCCATCAACAGCAGGTATGTGGGCAACATATCTGTGAACCCAAACTGATTCCTACTTTGATCTCCCATCCTTGTTGAGTGGCCTTCATTAACTTGACTCAAAATGGAAACCTAGACACATTCTATGAAGCAAAATAATATTTAGAAATATTTTTCAACCAAACAAAGTATTTGATGAGCAAGTCAGAGAACAGTTGTTGCTTACCAACAGTGGGAAGATTTGCTCATTAAGCCAAAAGTAACCTGAGTCTCTCTCTGTCTCTCTCTGTCTCTGTCTCTGTCTCTCTCTCTCTGTCTCTCTCTCTCTTTCTCTATTTCTCTCTCTTTCAATCTCTATCTTCATATATATATATGCATATGTATATACACACAAATATATACATATATATGTAAACTGGTGTGTGTTCATGTACACACACATATATACATACATGTGCAAGTGTAAGAGGAATAATATTGGCTGTCTTCCTTTGATACAGGGTCTCTTCTTCAGCCTGGAGCTCCCTGATTTGGATACAGCAACTGGAAAATGAGGTCCAGGAGTCTGCCTATCTCTGCCTCCCCACTGCTGGAACTGCAGAAGCACTTTTGTTCTCTGAAACATGTTTCTTGAAATCTATTACCTGCCCCTTCACTGCACACCAAATGTGCAGACATAGTCAGAAAGCATATCCCGATGAAAGACGGGCAGATAGACTCTTTATTTACATGTTCCTAAATGAAATTATATTTCTATAAAAACCGGAATGGCAGATATTGAGGGTCAGTGAGTTTCCTTGGCTTGCCCAGCTTGCTTTCTCTCCCTTTCCAGTGCTTATGCAACTGTTTTAAGGTCAATTTTAATAAAAAATTAAATTTTAAATGGAGTAGATGAAATAATACAATGCAGAAAGGTTTCGATGTCCAAATATATCTTCAGAGGTTTTAAAGAAATGCACTCCAACTGAAGTGTTGATGTATTGGAAAAGTTTAAAATAAAATCCAGATCAGATTATCAAGCTTTTTGGAAAATATGTGGAAACAGAAGTCAGCTCTCAGACTTTAAAATGCTAACTACTGACATGAAAGTCAATAGTTCATTCATAAAAACCCATAAAATGAAGTGGAACTAAGCAAATGTAGCCATGAGCAATAAAGGATATGAATGCTGTATAAAAATAGTAATTTGAATGATCAATGCATCCCATTGCTTGAGGGAGCCTAATACCTGGAATCTGTTCTAGATTAATATTTAGAGATTTCATAGCTGATCTTCAAAGCCACTCTCCAAAGTGTGCAAAGATACCAAGAGAAAAGGACCAACTCCATCTACAGACAGTAGGTGCATGGCTCATGGTCCCAGGAAGTAAAGAAATTAGACATGGAGCTGCTTCACTCTGAGAATGTCACATACGAATTTAGGGAAGGAGGCTGGATTGGCATCTGAGAACAAGATTATGGGTGGCCTTGAATTCAGTCCAAGAGTTATATTTGATTCTAGAACACATTTGAAATGGTTATAGATGTTGAATAATGTGATAAGTACGAGTGCTATCCAGGAGCCAGCAGAAGGTGGGAGAAGCTCAGAGCCCAATGCAGCACTCACAGTTCTTTGGGAGTAAGCTGGTGCCTAGAACTGCAGCTACAGAGTTTAAAGCATGGTTACTGTCAGCTATACACTCAAAAGGGAAAGAGAAAGAAGAAATGGAAAAACAGAGCATGTGCCACAGTCTACATAACCCTCGAAAGTCAAGGGAGGAGTGAGATGGTGTTAAACCGCTTCCCAATTCATGTTGTCTCTGACTCCCCACAGCCCTACCTGTATTTCAGCTTGCCTTTGCCCTGCTTTGACTGATGTGAACAGTTTAGCAGCAGACACAGGCACAGCTTCTGGCCTGCGCCTTCTGGGTTTGGGCTTTCTGTTCCTGTCTTTACGGATCCAGTTTTCTTTAAGGTCAGTGTTAGAGTGGGATCCTTTGCTCGCAATGCATAAGATGACGGTGGAGTCACCACACGTCTGTGGACCATAAATTCAAGTTCTGGATCTCATGTAAGGTTCCTCTTGCCTTTTGTTTTGTTGTGAGTCTGGCCCAGGGAGGGATAAGATGTACACAGCCTTGAACTTCCACATTTGCTGCGTGGTCGAGAGACCTGAAAGTTAGCTGGTATTTCTTACTGTATACCATCCTTGAGCTTTTCAGTGGTGTGTGTGTGTGTGTGTGTGTGTGTGTGTGTGTGTGTGTGTGTGCGTGCGTGCGTGTGTGTGTGTGTGTGTGTGTGTGTGTGTGGTGTTATGGTGCTTAGAGAAGAGGAGCGCACACACTACAGTGTATGCACATGTAGATCAGGGGGAACCTGCAGGAATCTGGGCTTTCCTTCCATCCTGGATTCCTGAGATCCAGGTGGTCAAGCTTGTATGGAAATCACTTTTATATATAGTCATCTTGCCAGACCCTCACTTGCATTCTGGGGATCCTATTTTGAACTTTCAGTGGAAAGATCAAAGTCTGTTTGCATACAAGTACCTTGGGCTTCCTAAATATTTCTTTGCTGAGCCAATCAGAGAAAGGGTGTTGCTTACCCAGATTGGGAAGGCTTAGGATGCTTCCCCCACCCCTTTTTTGACCTTGTCTGATTAGTGATATGATAGCATATGACTATGCATTTGGTGTAGAGGATTATAAATGTCAAGAAATCCTTTTAGGATCTAAACATAAACTACAGGAGCTTCAGTAATAAATTCAAACCTTAGAGTCAGCCTCAATTTAAGTCAGGATGAAAAATTCGATACAAACAAAATCAGGCACTACATAAAGAAACAGAAGAGAAAGATTAAATTCATGTGGAATATTCAGAAGAAGTTATATTTACTAATTTTAAAAACAGACAAATATGAATAGAAATGTGAATTAAGCTAACACAGGCTGCTTGTATCAAATGCTAAGGTTTATGAAGAATAAAACTTAACAGCATCAAGAACTGAGGCAATGAAAAAGACAGGATCTGATTCAAGGACAGTAACCTCTAAGGGTAAAGTTTATACGGCACAGTGGAAGAGTACAGTGGACAGGACTAGCAGGAAGCTAAGAAGAAATAGAAGCAGAAGATGTAATTCATGAAATCTAAAAAAAATGGAAAGTAACTTAGGAATCACTCAAAATGAGAACTGGGTGATAAAAAGTTTAATGTGTAAAGATCTGTAACGGTCTTGCCACAAAATGAAGGCAGAAGTACATATTTTTTCAGCTGCTTCATTCAGCCATGTGGAAGTTTTAATAAATACCAACAACACAAAATCATGTGAATGTGTGGTTCTCTGGAGCTATACTCATTAAGTTACACAGATTTCTTTCATGCTACTCAGAGGTTGCTCTGAAAAAATTACATCTTGCTGTCGTTCATTTCCCCCCAAATCAGCATTTAGCCTCCGATAATTCAACAGTTTCTCTTCCAACTACCCTAGTGTAGACAAGATGGTCATATCTTTTATAATAGTTTTCTGAGATTTAACTCATATATTTTGTAGCTCATCCACTACCTATTTGAATATCAAGAACTGTAACCTACCTCCACTGTCAACTATACAATTACTTTTTCACAAAAAAATTCACACTTCATAGATATAACCCACTTAACATTCTCTTCTATTCAGATCTCAGCCTCCCACTAAGCATTAATACAGACTTGACTACTCTAGGTTTTAATGTAGATGGAGTTATGCAATTTGTCATTGAGATTAGTTTCTGACACCTAACATAACAACGAAGTCCATCCCTGGAATATTATTTCTTATTTTTAACAACAAATAATAAGACAGCATGAAGATACAATTTACTTCATGTATTCTTTCTTCTGTTGACTGACATTTAGACCATTTCTCCTTTTCAATTAACTGAGCATGTTGCCAGAAAACAAGCCTTCACATTTGATTCTTGAAAATTATAAGTTAGTTTTTGAAAATGTTGCCTCATTAAAAATCTTCATTTTCATATAAGTATCACACGCTAACCAATTGTATCACTGGAGCACAACATCCTTAGACATCAAGGAAATGCAAACCAAAACCACTCTGAGGTACCATCTTACTGCTATCAGAATGACTAAAATCAAAATACCAATGACAGTTTATACTGGGGGGGTTGTGGAAAAAGGGGAACACTGCTCCACTGCTGGTTGGAGTGCCAGCTCGTACAGTCACTTTGGAAATCAGTATGGAGATTCCTCAGGAAAATGGGAATCAGTCTACCACAAGACCCAGCAATTCCACTCTTAGGCATATACCCAAAAGATGAATATTCATACACAAGGACATCTGTTCAACTATGTTCATAGCAGCATTATTTGTAGTAGCCTGGAAGCAACCTAGATGCCCTTCAACCAAAGAGTGGATAGAGAAAATGCAGTACATTTACTCAATAGAGTACTACTCTGCAGGAAAAAAGAATGGAATCTTGAAATTCACAGGCTAGTGGATAACATTTGAAGAATAATCCTGAGTGAGGTAACCCAGCCACAAAAGGAGAAACATGGTATGTACTCACTCATATATGGATTTTGGACATGAATCGAGGGATTGCCAGCGTACAATCCCCCACTAGAGTGCTGGGAAACAGGGAGGACCCTAAGAGAGATGTGCATGTTACCCCAGAGAAGGGGACAGGATCTCCTGAGCCATTTTGGAGCACGGGAGGGGGTGGAGAGGGGTTGTAGATAAAGAAAGTGGGAGAAGAGGAGGGGAGAGGAGGAAATGGAGGAGAAGGAAGGTTGAGTCAGGGGTAGAATATATGAGAGCAGAATGAGAGATACCATAATAGAGGGAGCTATTATAGGTTTGAGGGGATATCTGGCACTAGTAAGATTTCCAGAGATCTACGAGGATGACACCAACTGGCAATCTAAGCAGTAATGGAGAGTCTACCTTAAATGCCCTACCTGATAATGAGATTGATGACTACCTTATATGCCATCCTAGAACCTACATCCAGTGACTGATGAAAGCAGAGGCAGACACCCACAGCTAAACACTGAGCTGAATTCTTAGAACCCAGTTGCAGAGAGGGAGGAGTGATAAGCAAAGGGGTCAAGACCAGGCTGGGGAAACCCACAGAGACAGCTCACCTGAACAAGAGGAAGCTCATGGACCCCATACTGATGGCTGAGAGGCTAGCATGGGACTGATTCAGACTCCCTGAATGTGAATGTCATTGAGGAGGCCTGGGCAATCTATGGGGCCTCAGGTAGTAGATCAGTATTTATCCCTGGCAAACGAATGGATTTGGGGATCCCATTCTACATGAAGAAATACTCTCTCAACCTGGACACATGGGGAAGGACCTAGACCCTGCCCCAGATGATATGACAGACTTTGGAGATTCCCCCATAGAGGGGCTCAACCTCCCTGGATATGGAGGTTGGGGGGGCAGGGAAGGAGGGAAGGGAGAAGGAACTAGGATTGACATGTGAAGCAAGGTTGTTTCTAATTTAAATTTTAAAAAATCCTTCATTTTCTTCTGGTGGGTGAAGTGTATCCCATCTGCAGCTTCTGCAATTGGTGGTGATGATGACAATGATGATGGTTTTGGTGGTGGTTCTGTAGCCGCATTCAATGCCTAACATCAAAATCAAAATCCAACTTCTTTGACATTCCAGTGTGGATTAAAGACTATTTAGTTTCTAGCAATCTTCTTGCTTTTCTAACCCATTGCTACAGCTAATAAATCCAGGTTTGTGGATTTATCAGCAAGGCTTCTCATCCTTTCCAGTGTAAAGTTGGCTATTGTTTGGGTACTCAACCCCTATTGGTTGTAAGCCAATTTAGTCAGTGATAGCCAATAATGGTTCACAGCTTAAGTACATCTATAATCAACTGAAATCCAAGTACCT